TTTAAAGTTATTAAGGTCACAATTTAATATGTTGTTAGCAGATCAAGCTGCAACTAACTTGTTGTTTATGAAACAAAATACATTTTGTAATGCCAATAAGCCAGGGAGGTGGTTGGCTTATCAATTAAGAAAGAAACAGAGACAGAGAATAATAGAGAAAATATACTACAAGGGTAAAATAGTTTCTCAGAAGGAATGGATTAAGAAATCCTTTTTGGACTATTACCAAAAGTTATATAAATCTACTAATGTGCAGATATTAGATATAAATAAATATTTAAGTGAGGTTAATTTCCCTAGACTGACAGAGGATCAGAAACATGAAATTAATGGGATAATTACTAAGGAGGAAATTGCGTCAGCAATTCAACAATTGAAATCAGGGAAAGCACCGGGTACGGATGGGTTGACAGCTGTTTATTATAAAGCTTTAATGGAGGAGATGATCCAACCATTAGGTGATCTTTTTAATGGTATTTTACAGGGTTCAGAGATCCCTCCTTCATGGCGTAGTGCTTTTATATCATTGATTCCAAAGGAGGATCAAGATCTTACTTTACCAAAGAATTATAGGCCCATATCTCTTTTAAATGTGGATTATAAGATATTTGTTAAAATTTTGGTAAACAGGTTTATGAGGGTTGTGCCTTATCTTGTGCATAAAGATCAATCTGGGTTTATAACTGGAAGGTATATGAAAAATAATGTTAGACAAATCATTAATGTATTAGAATATTTAGATAAGAACAACCAAGTCTCTGCAGGGCTGATATTTTTAGATGCCGAAAAAGCATTTGATCAATTGAATTGGCATTTCATGTTAAGAGTAATGGAAGAGATGAATTTTGGTGAAAATATATTACAAACCCTTACGGTAATATATCAAAAACAAACGGCGCAACTTATTGTTAATGGAGGTTTGTCAGAGGTTTTTACAATAGAGAAAGGTACTAGGCAGGGGTGTCCATTATCACCACTGTTGTTTGTTTTAACATTGGAAATATTGTTGATTAAAATTCGAGAGTCGCAGGAAATTAAAGGAATAGAAGTTAACAAAAAAGAATATAAGTTAAGAGCCTTTGCGGATGACTTGGTTGTTACTTTGTCGCAACCTGTTCATTCTACAGTAAAACTATTACAGTTGATTCATTATTATGGTTTGGTCTCGGGTTTCAAGATTAATGTTAATAAGACTAAAATTCTACCTAAAAATATGACTAGTCAGGAGAAGCAGACCTTGGCTATCTCGACGGGTTTTGAAATTGTTAATAAGGTAAAATATTTGGGGGTGATGTTATCTGTTTCTAATGCAAAATTATTTAAAAATAATTATGAAAAGTTGTGGGTTAGGGTACAGAATGATTTGAAGAATTGGGAGAAGTTGCAATTATCCCTCATGGGAAGAATTGCAGTGATAAAAATGAATATTCTACCCAAGTTTCTCTTTTTGTTTCAGATGCTACCGATTTTGAAGAATGAGATTAATTTAAGTGAATGGCAGAAAGGCCTTAATAAATTTATTTGGGCAGGGAAAAAGCCAAGGGTTAAGTTTAAAATTATGCAAGACTTTCGTGAGAGGGGTGGACTCAAGGTACCGAATTTGAAATTATATTATGATGCGGTGGTTTTAACACTAATTAGTGATTGGGTAAATTTGACAAATCCTGAGATACTCCATCTAGAGGGATGGGATTTACTTTTTGGATGGCATGCCTATTTAATATTTAATAAAAAGATCGACTGGGTTTTTAAATCTCATATTTTAAGAATTTCTTTACTTAGGACTTGGAGAAAATATTATAAAAGTGATTTTAAAGTACCATTATGGGCTATACCTTGGCATGCGATAGAAGGAATAAAAAGAGGGGCTAAAATGGACATGGTGTCTTATAGACAGTTACTTAGGTGGGATGGACAAAACTGGCAGTTAAAATCACGGGAAGAGTTAACACAAGAAAATATTATTTACTCTTGGTTCCAATACAGGCAACTAGCAGATAGATGGAAGGTGGATTGTAAGGTGGGTTTTCTTAGAGAAGATGAAAATTTTATTAAGCAAGTGAAGGATCAAAGACAAACCCACATTAAGAGAATTTATGGGGTTTTAGTTGAATTGGATTCAGAAACGGAACTAATTAAAGATTGTATGATCAGATGGGCGCAGAATTTTGGTGAGCCAGTTCCATTGGACACCTGGGAAACTATTTGGGTTAGAAATGTCAAATTTACACAAGCACAGAATTTAAGGGAGAATTTCTATAAAATGTTTTATAGATGGCACCTTGATCCACAAAAAATGTCTTTTATGTACCCTGACCTACAACCTAAATGTTGGAGATGCGGGTGTATGGATGCTACTTATTATCATATTTGGTGGTCATGCAGAGAGATAAAAGCATTTTGGATTAAGATATGGTGGAATATCCAGAGAATTTTTAAAAGGAGGGTAAAATTTATTCCGCAATTATTTTTGTTAGTTACTGATTGTGATACAAAGGAGGTTATATTGATGTTAAATTTGATTACAGCCGCGAGGCTGTTAGTTGTACAATATTGGAAGAAGGAATCTTTGCCTACACTGCAGGAATGGTTTTTTAAAGTGTCTAACTTGGCGGAAATGGCAAAGATTTCGGCTTTTTTAAAGCAACAAACGCAAGAGAAATTTCTTGCTGTTTGGGATAAATGGATAAAATTTATACAGTTTAAAATGGATATTAAAAAATATTATATAGCTTTTTCTTAATTTTTATTCTTATATATATATATATATATATATATATATATATATATATATATTTTTCTAATTGTTTTTTTAATTAAGCCTATATTCTGCTCTGGGAAGCTCGGGGGGGGGAAGGGCGGGTGCTTGGGGGAGGTTGGGGAAGGGAGGGTTTCTTGTGTAATGTTTAGTTTTTTCTTTGTATATGTTTTTTGTCTTTGTATTGTTTTGTTTTTTTCCTTTTTTGTAAAATTTATAAAACTTTTAATAATAATAATAAAAAAAGTTACATGATGAGCACCCCTAGTGCTTATGAGCAAGTCTCGAAGTTACAAATATTGCAGCACCATGGCAGTCATTCACCCTTACGAGCAACCGCAGTGGCTCTGCAACATTCACTCTGATTATTCCCTCCCTCCCCAACCCTGCCCGGGTCTCCCTAGGCACCAGGCCTTCAATACTCACCCTGTGAAGATTGAGGTCCTTTCTTGGCTGCTCCAGGCCTTCAGTGCGTTTGCAGAGAATGGAGGCCTAAAGTAATGCCAGATCACGCAAGATCAGTGTGACGAAATCTCATGCTACTGATTTTGCATGGTCTCATGGTAATTTAGGCCTCTGTTCTCTGCAACAGAGAACAGAACCGAAGCCAGGGGATGTTTCTGTGTGTCTCCGGAGGCTGGATTTGGACTCCAGAGGCCTTTTCCAGGCTGCTGAAGCCTGGATTTGAGGCTGGGGAACGTTTCCATGCACCCTGTGTGGCCCGATCTGGGCTCTGGAGGCTTTTTCCAGGCTGCTGCAGCCCAGATCTAAGGCCAGGGGAGGCTTTTGCCTCCCCTGTGGCCCCAATCTGGGCTCCGGAGGCCTTTTCCAGGCCTGATCGGGCCACGAGGGGGTCGCGGAAGCATTCCCCGGCCCCAAATCCAGGCCAGAGTGACTTGGAAAAGGCCTCTGGAGCCCAATTGGACTGTGGAGGGTCACAAAAGCCTCCCCTGGCCTCAGATCCAGGCCACAGCAACCTGGAAAAGGCCTCCAGAGCCCAGATTGGGCTGTGCAGGATACGTGGAAGCGTTCTCTGGCCTCAAATCTGGACAGCAGCAGGAACTGCAGCAGAGAAGAGATGGATCTTTTCCAGGTGAGTCCTGCGTGGCAGGAAGGGAGGGGGAAGCATGCAGTATCTTAGTGGGTTGGAGAGGCCTTGGGAGCCTGTTCCAGCACTAGCCCTCCATGGCCTTCCCCACCCTGAGATACCTTATGTTCGCTTAACGAGCCACATGAGTTTTAACAAACAAGGAAGTGATTTCGTACCTCAAATGAGATTCACTCTACGAGTTTTTGATTTATGGGTGGAATGGGCAGGCTCCATTATACTCATAACTCGAGGATTACCTGTACACTTTAAATAATGACTACTGATCTATGGCTAATATGTTAATATTTTTTGTAAGCAAAAGCATCAAACCTTTCAGTGTTGCTATTTTTGTAAATAATTTTATGAAATTTAAGTAGAAATGTTCACAATTTATAATTGTGAACTAGTAATGAACTAATAACAATTCTATTGGGCTGACTTAACTAACCAATCAATAAGAATGCCCAGTTAGTCTCCTAGCACACAGTTGTGAATAAATAATTTCATGGTCTGGGATAATATACCATCCATTAAAGAACTAGAACTATATTAAACTATGGCTACAGGCCACTGTACATTGCTTCCTTCAAACTGCAGCAGAAATATGGGAACAGTGGCAGCATGTCAGCTTCCAGAAATAGGCAAGAAATTGATATGCAGTGTTAAGTTGTAGAGAGAAGAGGGTGGATATATTTTATCAATACAAGATTTGTGCTTTCTACCAAAGGTGATTAGTGATCGTAAAACAAGGAGGAAAAACTAGGAAGATATTATACATGATAAATACAATGTGCTAAAATGCTCATAGAAAGCATATGAAAATGATAAATAAAAATATAATATAGTATTAAGCAAAATATAAACTAATTTCTTGGATACACATGCACAATATAAATGTCCTCCTCCCTATCCTTTGGAAATAAAGGGGTGGCTAGATTATTGGGAAAATAGACTAGGTATTATGGTTGTCATTTGGATGGTGTGCATCTTCTTGCCAATATGGTAACTGGTACAAGAAATGTAAAGATATTTAGCAACTATTTTTTCCAGATGAAGCTGCCTTATTAGAAAAAAAAATATGCCAACATATTATACAAAGTGTCATGTTTTATAGAACAAACTGTATGTAAAATAATGTCATAAGACAGTTACAGGTCGGTGTTGCTCCAATTGAGTTTCCAGTGCAATTCGTTCCCTGTGAACTTCCTAGATAGCACAAATGATATGAAATAATTAGAGAGCATCTTGGTAGAAACATGCAAATATAAAAACAATCTTGCTTTAAAATGCAGAAGTATGAACTCTACTTTTGCAGTTTCTGAGTTTCACTATGTGTCCTTTCAATAAACTATAGCAACAACAAAATTGACACTCAATTGTTGGATAGCTTGGTAATTTATATGTTCCACCATCATTCCCCTGATTTTTTTTAGTTTAGTTTACATTGTGATTCCTCAAGAAGTTCCAATACCGTATATTAAGAGTACAAACATTTTTTTTCTAAAATATGCTTTAAGTTGCTGAAAGCTGAACTATGGACTTTTGATCTATCTTTGAACTCAACTTGATCAAAAATATGAAAGAAATGCAGTCAATAACCCATGTCAATCACTTGATAAGTAGTACCACTGGAAAGAAGATTTAATGTTAATAATGTCACATATTTTTTCCACAGATGTAGGCAGTAAATAAATTATATTTCAGAAAATAGTTGTTTCAATTTTATTTGTAATTTAGGAAGTCTTTTGCTGTCTTATTTGTAGGAAACTGACTTATTTGCAGTTAAGAAAAAGAATTCTGATCAGTATCTTATGTGCATTCTATATGTTATATATGCATACACACACACACACACACACACACACACACACACACACATATATATAACATATGTAATATATACATATATTAAACATATATTAAAAACCCAAATTATCATTGTAGCAAGGTACCTTTTGCTTTAAAAAGATTAGTTAACTAGAAAGAAGACGTCTTACTTTCCACTTCAAATACATTTTGAATAATGGGAGTATGTCTGCCAAAAAGAACATTTCCTCATCACATGACCACAAAGTTTTGGGGCTTTTTAAGCGCTAATATGATTACATATAAACATTTATTCATACAGGGCCATGAAGGGAGGGGGTAGCTTCTGTCAGTGTAGAAAATGGTATGAGGATGTAGGGAAATCATATTTATCATTTCCATAAATATATTTAAATTTATTTAATTTGTGGAAGGTTCCTTTTCACTCCAGTTCTCAGCCGTTCTTCTATTTCAAGAACATTTATATTTTATACTAATTCTTACATTTTCTTCATGTATAAGTGCAAAAAGAGATGCATGAGCATGCCTTACCTTCAATTGTTGCTGGAGTTCGCTATTCAACCGAACTAACACTGCATTAGCTTCTTTGTTTTTACGAATAGCAGTCTGAACAGCTTTCTTCTGTTTTGAAGACTGTCTGCCAGAGATAAAGACAATCCCTATTTTTAATTAATAGGACAATCTGGATGGTACACAAAGAGGACATGGTGGGCTTGAATTAAAATCAAGGGGAAATATTGGGGTGTGCCTCTTTAAAATATGTAACTCCCGTAGAAAGTCAGTACAATATAAGTAACTATTGTTATGGTCTCCAACCTGATGTCTAATTTCCCTACAGAATTCTCCTCTGTGTTTCCTTCCTGAATAGAATCAACTTTATTTCTAAGAACAACTTAGGCCCACAAATATCCTGAACTCTTATTCAGATCTTTCTGAACGGACATAAACACCCTTATTGTAAATTGTATGTTCTGCAACATTCTAACATAAATATTTTTCCAATTCTAGATGTTAAAAAGGCTATTTCCATAAATATACATCATCAAGTTTCAGATAAATCCATATGGAGGGATCTCTAATCCAAAATGATGATGTACTGACCTAACTGCCCTCTCATTATATGGTCATTTCATATGACCATATACTCTGAGTGGCATACAAACAACCCATAAAAACTATTTAAAAAACATTTAAGATAAACAAAAGTTAATATTATTATGAAAAGGCTAAGAGAAGACATCAGATTATAAAAATGGAGCCATCTCATCAGATCTCCATTTCCTTGGGATCCTAAGGCCTGTTGATACAATCAGGTTTTAAGGAACTTCTGAAAAGTTGGCAGAGATGGGACCAATTTTGTCAAAAGTGAGATAACAGAATAGAATAACAGAGTTGGAAGGGACCTTGGAGATCTTCTACTCCAACCTCCTGTTCAGGCAGGAAAATTTATACAATGTCAATCAAATGGTTGTCCAATCTCTTCTTAAAAACTTCCAGATAATAATAAACTTTATTGTCATAATCTGTTCCACTTATAAGGAATGTTTCCTACTGGCATAATATATTAGAGGGAAATGCTTGAATTAAACATAATTTGTTTTCCACAGTTAGAATGAGATGGGGAAGTCAGTTGAAGAGACTATGAACTTTTCAGGAAAAGGCACTGGGAGATTCAAGAGCTCAAACTGTCAATTCTGTCAAACTGTCAAACACTGGTTCTAAGGAGATTTCAAATTTCCACATTATTCCACATTATTCATATTATTTCCCAGAACATTTGGGGAAAAGCAAGGACTGATGCTGAACAGTCTGACACTGTGTATCAGTGCTATAGCACATTTAGTTGTCCTCATCTGTTAACCACATTAGAGTCGTGGAAGGGACATACATTTTTTCTGTCCAGGCTATTGCAAAACATCAATGTTCTCCACCCACAACTGAACCATGGATTAACTATTCTCTAGAGAGTCCTCTACATAGTCCAGAGGGTAATATTTTAGCAGCAGAGACATTTTCACAACGGGTTTGCATTCCCTAAACTAATAATAAGAAACGAATTGCACAAACGCTATCTCTATCTGTTCTTTGTGTACTGTGTATTGTCCCTAAAAGAGATATTTTCAAAGTAGCTGACTTGCATTTTATCCCATATTACCTCTGAAGCATATCTAAGCCCCTCTGTGTTGTCACAAAACCCACACCTCTCCCAGTTTCTCATGTAGCATAAGTCAGCCCTTTTACTTTGGAAATGCATGGTGAGGTTTGATGGTAGGTAAGGAAGAAGCAGTTGCACTTTTCTTTGGGGAAAGTTCCTGGTTCTCCAGCATGTGGCTTTCAGGTTGGAATTTCCTGTGAATTGTCTTTGATGATAGCTGAGAAAGTACAAGGTCCTGTGAAATAAAAAATAAATCATTGTTTTTTTAAAAATATTTTTATTAGACATTTCAAAACAATATGGAAACTTTGAAGACAAGGAACAAAAAAGAGATAAAACAATAAAATAAACAAGGGATCTACAAACATCTTAAAAGCTATAATTTTCCAGTAATGTATACTGAATTGATAGTTGATTGTGAATAATGGAATATACCATATCTTTTAATAAGCCTGAAAATGGCTATTAAACTCCAAACCAGAATTTCCCAAACTTTCTTGGTTAGTGTCTCAGTAATTTTTTTCATAGTGCCTCACAGTTTCCAATTGTGCACCTTATTACCCTAGGATACTGCAGTGCACAGTTTGGGAACAGTGGGGTTAACAAAAGCAGCAAACTCTTAAAGGCACTTTGGGATATTTAAATATTCAAGGTAAACACAGTGATACTAGATTATTTTTTTTTGCACTGTGTCGAACATAAGACAAGTATTGCTTTATTCCATTCGAACATGGAGAATAAAATACAAGTTTGTCTTTTGGTAACAGGGTATTTCGTCAATTGTAAAACCCATTGTGGCATCCTCTTTATGAACAGACAACATTCTTCTGGCTACTTTCATGCTTTCAGTCAATACATCCTATGCTTTATTGATGTGTTCTAAGGCCCAAATCTTTGTTAATTTCAGCAATAAGCTTTGACACTGGCACAATACAAAGATATTTCTGCAACTCTTTGTTTAGGACTGAAGCAATATTTCAAGTATTAAATGAAAAAATGGACTAAAAGTGAGCACTCTAAAAAATGTTACTTGAAATATGAAGCAGAAGATACTATGGAACATAGGTTAGGCTACTCATAAGGGAATGTACAGTATATCAATACAAATATAATACAACACATTACAATACCATCACTCTAGAAAAAAACAGCTTTGTAGAATGAATTATTTTAGCCTGAAAGTTAATTATAGCTGAAAAATATCTGTAAAGCATCCAGTCTGTACACTGTTAATATTAACAGAACTACTGCTAAAAAAAGGAAGTATTGTGCCATCTTGTAGAATTTTACATGTTCAGGGCACATGTGTTTATTTGGCAGTCTGCAATTGCTGCCAATCTCTTGATTCCAATCCAGGTATTTTACTTGAACATTCTGCCAGGGATGCTATACTTTTCTAGTACTGGATTTATTCATATATAGGAGACATGGAGTCCTTCTGCCAAATAATTCATCTTTATAAATGCAACATGAGTTATGCTAAAAAATATTGTCACAGCATTAATCAACTGAACTAAAAAATATATCTCAGCTCAAAATACCTAATTATATAACTTCATGAATTTATTATTATGAAATCCTGGGAAAAATTTCTTACTTTGAAAATTAATTAATGATGGGAAAGTCTGATTCTTTCTACCAGAAATAATTTCAATGGCAGTAGGATATTATTATCCAATCTTTATTTAAAAATAGGTATACTTCTTTTCTTTAAGCCTAATACTGAGATAATCTTTCCTTGGATTAAAAACTCTGAAAGATTTTCAGATGCTCAGATGTATGTTCACTGTCTTGAGATATTTATAAGAATAATAAAGACAGGATTTTTTAAAAACAACAACTAATAAATCATACATCTGTTGATTTTATTAGCTTTTTGATTAAGACTGCAATTTTAAGAAGACAGACTTATATTTTCTCAGTTTTAAGGGACCAAGATTAAAATATTACATGAGCAATTTTCTTAGCTTTAATATTTTCTTTGTTCCATAAAAACACAATGACAATAATACATTTTATTAGAAACTAAAAATGGCAAAATGGCATAAACAATGGGAAATAAAAACAGTAAAGGACAATGCTGAAGTTATCTATGCCATACTGAACAATATAATTATATGTATATATGGAAGTATATAATTAATTTTATACTGTAGATCTGGAAAGAGGACTTACTACTGAAGATTACATGATATGGCCTTACCTTTTTTGCTGGGTTGTTTTCTGGTGATGGAGAAATATTCACTGGCAAATGTGAGTTTATTTCATAGTCTTGTTCTATCTGTAATAATGTGAAAACTTCTGTAATATCAAAAATTGCAGCCTACTTTCATTCTTACTTTGGATATGGTCATGATACAAGCTCTGTCACTTTTCTAGGCACATTCAGACATAACATGCTTCCACATATAAAGAGTAAAATTCATCTCCCAATGTTGATTATTGGATTCTATGGAAGCCTTTTAGTTTTTAACGTTTGACAGGACTTCCAGAGATGAGCTTAGTTTTTAAAGTTTGGGAAGTTTATTCTCCATTCCAATTAGTTTCCTGGATACACACTTTCTCCCAGTTATTAGGAAAAGATGCTGTTCATGCCTATTTGTTGTGTGGAGAGAAAGAAGAGGAAACAGTTGCTGCTACATTTGTTGTCATGTTTACATTGAGAATAAAACCTGGCTCATACTGAGAGAAATTCTGAGCCAAGGTGGGTTTTTTTTTTTTTTGCATATTTACTACACTGTTGTAATGCCTGGAAGTGTATACTGAAACCATGGATACAATCTAAAAGCACTGTCACTTGTCAGTTGTAATTTTGTGCACTACACTAGAAATCTCCACGGAATAAAGACTTTATTGTAAATGAACCTGCTAAATAATAGTGATTTGTGCAATATCAGGAAATAATAAAATAAAATTGCAACAGAAATGTTATTTATGTCATGAGAATGCTATCAAAGTTCACATCTCATTTAGAGTTAACAAGAAGCAAACATTTACTTCCATTAAGAGTTTAGATTTCTGCATTTGATCACCATTGGAGACTTGGAAAGACCTTCATAGAAATGTGTATCTTTGCGAGAAAAAAGCCAAAATAATTCAGAAACAAAATTCCCAGGGCTTTTGTTTTCTTTTGGAAAATGTTGGAAAAAATAAAAACAAAACAAAAATCTCTCCAAAGAAGCACTTACTGTTAAGATAATGCTTAGAATAAGACAAGAGTTTATTCATTGTTATCTTTTACTCTTTCAAAGTATATTAGGGAGACTTTTATCTGGACGACTAGAACACTACAGTTCTATAGAGAGGAGAAGTAGAACTTATTTGTGTTAGTGTCTTGGAACATGTTATTATTGGGGCTGTGCAAAGTTCGTAAAAATGATGCTTCAAAAAGCATATTATAATAAGTGATGCATTCTTCCTCAAAATGTTACAATAACTTTAGAGCTTCTTCGACATCACAGTACAGAGTTTAGCTGACCAAACTACCAGCTTCAACATATGCTAAGAAATCAATTTGGTTCAAAAGAAAAGTCCTAAAGAGAAATGTAAGATGAAGAAATTGAATAAATGGCTGTAAAACTGAACATTTGCCTTCAAAGTCTGGCTGAGAATACCAAGTTAACACTTCACAGCTACAGAACTATTACCCCTTTTCTTTTTCTGTGTATGCAGCTTCTTAGGCCCTATAAGTTATCTTCTAAAAAGTTATTGATATTTCCATAATTGTTTTAATTCTAATTATATATTGGGGTACTCTGTCAATGGGTTGGAGTAGTCTAGAAACTACAGAAATGAATGAATGAATGAATAAATATGTTTTCTGAAATCCTCTTTTAGCGTATAAAACTCCAGATGCCTTACATATAATGAAAAGTATCGAAGGATAACTTCATTTTCAATTAAAAAGATTTTGAATAATATAACCATCAGACATTCCCTACATACAGTCTATGTATAAGACAGCAACAACTATGCATCTCATTTTCTAAACTTTCCTAATTGAGTATTTTATTTTTCATTTTTATCCTTTAATCTAGAAAAACCAGGCCACATAGAACAATGTGTGCATCTTAATAGAATGTTTAGTATAGGTAGTCTTCAAGTTATGAATATAATGGAGCCTGATTTCCAGCTCCGTGGTGTTTCTCCCCACAGCTCAAGATGCTCTTCTTTAGCTGGACAAACGAAAAATCAGCACTGCAAACAGAAGAAATGTGCAGGGAAACCAAAGGAGTTTGTGGGATTAAAAAAAAAAAAGTTCAATCAGACCTTCCAACTTTGTGAGATCTTTCTTTTTTTTTCACGAGAAGTTAGAAGGTCTGACTGAACTTTTTTTTTTTTTGTAGTCCTACGAACTTTGGTTTTCCTTCATGTTTCTTCCGTTTGCAACATAGCTTTTCCATTTCTCCAGTGAAAGAATAGCATCTTCAGCTGCAGGGAGAAACACCATGGAGCTGGAAGCAGGTGTCAAGAATGAAACATGGGCAGCTATATGCCTCTCCGTTTCAACTTGTCATTAGAGATGGAGAAGGTATTGACTATGAATGGATTAATTTGCAGAAATGAAACATCTGCAGTCCCACTGGGCCTGTACGTCACAAAATGACCCTGTAGGTCACAAAACAGGCCTGTACATCATGTGATTGAGGTTTTCAGGAAGGCAGTTGGAGTGGAAGTTTCCACATGGTAGTGGAGTTGAGCCAAGATGGCAGCAGCGTAGGAAGCAGTATCAGTTTATGAGGAGAGAAGTTACAAAATTAAGTAGGAAAGTACAAAGAGAGGAGGGAAAAGAGAGGAAAAAGGAGCAGAAAGTTAGATAAGGAAGATAGAAAGAATAAAGGAAAAGAAGAAATTGTGGTAAGGAAGCAAAACAGCAGCACAGCAAATGAATGGTTGTACGTGGAGTCAGAGGCAGACGGCAACAGAGAACAACAGATCCAGCTCAGGAGCCCAACTAAGCAGCCCGATGCTGGAAAAGGGGCAGCTGAGAGCAGCAAACTGGTGGCTGGACAGCAGACAAGAAGGGACGCTGTTGAACTGGTGGGTCACAGTATATTCAGTAATTGCCTAGATCCATACTCCAATCTAGGTAGCCCAGCTTGAGGGGGCAGTCAGGCATCCCGACCTAGGGCACAGGAAACTAGAGGTAGCCCGACTACCACAGCCCTCCCCCTGCATCTTTCCAGCCCCTCAATCCTCCCCAATGACTTGTCCAAGGTGGAGGGCTTGTGGAGAACTTGATCAACATTCCCTCCCCAGAGAGATCAACAGTCTCCCCTCAGTCTCCTGCTAGCCTGGCAGCCTATCTGGTGTGGCAGAGGACAAAGGGCCTGGAGCAATCAGTTCGCTGTGAGAAATTGGTGATAGCAAAATCTGTGGAGGGGAGAAACGTAGCAGCAGAATCAGCAAAGAGGAGAAATGCAGCAGCAGCAGAGAGATGAACAGCACAGCAGCAGCAATAGAGGCGCATTGAGTTAGAGAGCTCTGATCTCTAAAGCTGAGTGGCCGGCTGAGCGGAGCAGACCAGATAGCAGAGCTGAGCCAATCAGAAAGCTGAACAGCAGGCCTGATCAGAGCAGAGACAAGACCGAAAATACCCGAGCACCGAAAGAAAGAATGGAGCTGGCAGAGAAAACGACAAGAGGCCAGAGCAGCAAACAACAGAAGTGAAGGGAACTTAAGTTTGAGGTCCCAATAGGAAGGGAGGGAAGATCCCAGTAGAGAATAAAAATAAATATAGGACAGAAAATAAATAAATAGGCAAATAATAAGGACAAGAGTGGAACATTAAAAATCAAGGAAGAATAGCACTAATAAAGAGGCAAATCTTAACAAGATAAATCTCAAATAATAAGGTAGGGAGGAATTGGAGCTCAAAAACATTAAAAAATAGATGGAAGAAAAGGATAAATAAAACATAATAGTAAGAACGTTAAATGAACAATAAAATAGAAAAAGGAGCACAAACAGGCAGAAAAAAGGAGAGGGAAAAAATAGGCAAAATTACCTAGAACAGAGAAGGAAGAAACAAGGCTAACAGCAAAGCACATCCGCCAAAGAGGGATTTTCAAACAACAAACTATTGTGGAATGCAATACATGTTCCATGTATGTGCTTATGCCCAAAGAACACCCAAAGTTTGCATTAAATGTAAACTATGTGAACTACTAGAGGAAAAAGTAAGGGATCTAGACGCAATTCTAGCCAGACTCCAACCTACACAAGAAAGCTATACCCAAACCGAACCAAATAAAGAACAAATAACTCCCAGAGGATTTGACCCTACTGATAAACACTTGGAGGACGACAAATGGAGGTATGTCACACATAGAAGGACAATAATCAAAGAAAGAAGCAGCATAGATCTAATAAACTCCTACTGCCCAATCTAACCCAATCAGAAGTAGACCCATTAAAACTGAGCAATCAATTTGTCCCCCTAGATGGAAATACGCAGACCCACAACCTCCCCTCCCAAAGAAAACATGCAGACAGCTAGCAAAGAAACATCACTACAAACCAATCAGTCTAACATCAATACCTGGGAAGATCCTGGAAACAAACAAAGTTATAACTGGTAGCCAGCAGGGATTTGTTAAAAACAGATCATGCCAAACCAATCTTATTTCATTCTTTGATAAAGAGACCAAATTAATAGACCAGCGAAATACTGTGGACATAATACACTTAGATTTCAGTAAGGCATTCAACAAAGTAGACCACAACCTACTGCTTGGTAAGGTAGAAAAAGGTGGAATAGACAATATCGCTACCAGAGGGATTTGTAGCTGGTTGACAAACTGTACTCAACGAGTAGTCCTCAATGGTACTACATCCACATGGAGAGAAGTAAGCAGTGGGGCACCACCAGGTTCCATCTTAGGCCCAGTACTCTTCAATATCTTCATCAATGACTTACTGTAGATGAGGGAATAGAAGGGGAACTCATCAAATCTGCAGGAATAGCCAACACTCCAGAAAACAAGCTCAGGATCTAAATAGATCTTGATAAACTTGAACAATGGGCCCTATCAACAAAATGAATTTTAATGTGGAGAAAAGCAAAGTTTTACATTTAGGCAGGAAAAATCAAAGACATAAGTACAGATTAGGTGAGACCTGGCTCAAAAACAGTAACTGTGAGAGGGTCCTTGGAGTCGATGATCACTTGACTATGAGCTAGCAGTATGCAGCAGCAGCCAAAAAAGCTATACAATCCTGGGTTGTATAAACAGAGGCATAGAATCAAGATCACACAAAGTATCAGTACCGTTTTATAAA